TTGAAGCCAGATTTATTGTGTGTCTTCAAATGCCATACAAACATTTTTTTTGGTGACACAAGTGGAACATAATTCAGACTTTGGCTGGAAAAATGTTTTCAGCTGTTTTATATAAATCCCTGGCTTCATGGCTTGAATCTGCATCAGATCCAAAATTTTTAAAAGCACATTGTATCTGCTAGACTTGGAGCTGCAAAAGGTATCAAAAATCCAAGCAAAAATATTGAGTTGTATTTCTATTTTTAACTGTAAACCCATGTCAGTTCTATTTCTCTATGCATTAGTGGATATCTTGTGTTACTGCCCATGAACGTAAGAGCACAGGAAATTGGAGCAGGGATATGCCATGTGTTAATATCACACTTCCATTCAAATAGATCCCTCTTGATATTCCACCTTAACTGAATTTAACTTGTTCTAACTCCATATCTCATAACTCTCTTAGCATTCAATGTATTGATCTTAATGACAAACAGGACTCAAAAATTCCTCTGTGTGCTAACCATAGAGTTGAGTATTTTAAGAACAACCAAACTGTGCAAATCTCACAGTTTTTGCAGGGAGCACATGAATTTTAAATTCCCTACAAATTGAAGGAGAACCACATTTGTTTGTGGATGAAGCAGACCTAAATTACATTTTATCTGTATGGAGCTAAGGCCATAAACTAAAGCATTTAGTTACTTTGCCATACATGTATCCTCACAAGAAGGGATTATAAAAGATTCCTTCTGTGCTGCTATGAAAACATTCAGGACTCTTGGTTTTCCTGCAGGCTTGTTGTGTGGCAAATTCAATTTGTTAACAAGATAAGTGAATGGCAGGCACTAGGGAAACAATCTTAACAACACTTAGCTGACAATTTATTCTCAATAAGCCCAAATGAAAACATGGCAGCTTCTGTCACTGATCAGCCAGGTGTGCAGTAGTGTTTATAAAGTCCATAATGGCTTTGTTGAGCTAACCGTTGAATGGTCATTTTATCCCCTTGGTTAGAGTGAATCCATTTTCCACATTGTCCTTGCTGACATAGTAGTTCACTTACATTTCACATCTCTGCATACTACATAATGCAGTATATTATTGTGCCAGCTCATGGTACTGATTCACCTTTGTTCAACTTTTCGCTTAAATTGACTAGATCTGCATGAGAATAAATCAGTTCATTTGTAATCTCTGACTTTATTTGATCTTTTAAAATATTGCACTGTTCCATCTCTGAAGGAATAGACATTTTTTTTTATTAAGCCAATGAAAGGCCAATGACACTATGAAATTCTGATCAAACCCCAGTGAATCCAGGGGAATCAACCCTATTAATATACTTTGGTGACGTTTTCCCCACTGAATAAGGTAAATGAAGGAATCGCTCAAACAATGATGCATCAATACACATGTATAATAAAAGTTAATAAATCTCATTTCTTGGTTCCAAATTTCATGGCAGTGTCTCATTGTTCAAAGACCAGTGTTTACTGCAAATAGCACTGTCAAACTTTGAAATAATGAGATTTATCTTCAGATCAGCAAGGTTCAGGCATGACATTCTTTTGCGTAATTTACAAGCAGTTGTTAATCTATTCAAATTAAAATTTCTAATGTAGGAGTTTGCCATGATATGAATGCCTGGTTTTCAAGAAACGAGAATTGTGAACCCATCTCTGGTGAAGAGGTTGCACGTTTTTTCATTAAATGCAGAGTTTGTTGTCCTGAAATTTTTGGTGAAATGTAGGAGCAAATGTCACTGTTGCAACGTAAGGGCCATGTCCATCTAGAATATTTAGGGACATGTGGTTGTTTTTATTGCCTTCTCTTTTCAGCCTGCAGATTTAAGACAGTAAAACAGTTCCTAAATCAAACTCTGTGAGGCAATGAAAACAATCTTTGTTTATGCTTAAGCACTACAATAAACAGCTGCTGCTTTCATGCAGTATTTTTATCCTCCCCCCCCCATACCAACCAGAGAAAGAGACCATCAAGCAGAATCATGTCTCAGAATCCCTACAGTATGGAAACAGGCCTTGCAGTCCAACAAGTCCACACCAACTCTCTGAAGAGCATCTCACCCAGACCCATCTCCCTACCCTTTCCCTGTAACACTACATTTCCCATGGCTAATTCACCTAACCTATACATCCCTGAACACTACGGGCAATTTAGCATGGCCAGTCCACCCAACCTGCATATCTTTGGACTGTGGGAGGAAACTGGAGCACCCGGAGGAAACCCACACAGACACGGGGAGAACGTGCAAACTCCACGCAGACAGTTGCCCAAGGGTGGAATTGAACATGGGTCCCTGGTGCTGTGAGGCAGCAGTGCTAACCACTGAGCCACCATGCTGCCCTCACTCTTGTAGGATCCGCTTTTGTAATGCCCTGGTGTACAAGCAGCAAAGTTACATTTCCACACTCTCCATCTAAGTGTTTCACCACCACTCTGATTAATTTAGAAAAATTAGCCATTCGGTCCTTTTCCGTTATCAGAGTAGCTCTTTCCTTTGCAGTCACAAAGAATTCACATTGGTTTGGCAACTTTCACATCACGGGGATATCCTTTAGGGATGGCGCAATCACTCTGAATAGGAAGGTACTGGGTTCAAACTCATTTCAGTGCATTGTCTAGACTGATACAATTCAATGTAGTGTTGAAGAAGTCCTGTCCAGTCAGAAGTGTTATTTTTTGGATGAGACATTAAACTGTGGCTGTGTGCCTTTTCAAATGGACATAAATATCATGTTTTACATCCAATGTCATTTTACCTTGCAGCTAATTACATTTTAAGCTAAAAATAAGGTTATTAGAAAAATTAATATTTCCATTTGCCTATTGTCAAAATCCACAAGGCCCATCATTTTTTGAGCAACTAAATATGCAGCCATTCTACTCAGAGTTGCACTTCCCCTCATTGATCAATTATCCTTCATACAATTCCCCTCATCCCTTCACTCTGCCCCTCTTTTCAGGTTCTCCATTCCATGAAAGCCACTGTGTTTTATAGGAACAAAAACAGAAGTTGCTGGAAAAGCTCAGGAGGTCTGGCAGCATCTGTGAAGAGTCACCTGACCTGAAACGTTAACTCTGATTTTTTCTTCACAGATGCTGCCAGACCTGCTGAGCTATTCCGGCAACTTCTGTTTTTATTCCTGATTTACAGCATACACAGTTCTTTCAGTTTTTATACTTTATTTTATAGTATTGGCCCAGAGATAAATAGCAAGTATACTAGGATAGTTGACTTGTTTTTCTTCAGTTAGTGCTGTGAGATGTTTTATGCTCATTGGCACAGGCATAGGGGGCCTCACTTTAATGTTTCATCCAAAAGATGGCATCTCTGATAATAAAATACTCCATCAGTACTGTTTTGAGATGTCAGTATAGACTATTTGCTGAAGTGCATTTGCAGCCGTAATCATCTTACACTGAGTGATACCAGCCATCATTGTGTTAAACTAACACTGTAACAGTATTGTTTTCATTCAACATATAAAATAGCTCCTTTGTTGATCACAACATTTCAAGCAGCAAATGGTGGCAAAATTGCTAAATGAGGAGGGACGGCAGAGCTGCTGATGGCTGCATTGCATGAAAATCAGGGTAAGCATTGAAGAGTTTGAGACAGATTAAAAACAAAACATAGATGTTACTTACAAAGGGACCAAATAGTTAATATAGAAAATGTTTAGTTTGTGGATTTGGATTTCCCAGCTCTCCCAGCAGAGCTCTGGCCACCCAGTACCTCAGGCACTCTTAATTGACCTCCCAGAGATGGTCTCAAGACTGGCTGCCTCCTGCAAAATTTTCCTCTGGTTGCGAGCAACATTTTTGGGATCCTGACCTACATTTCATACCAATGGTGAGCTGGAGACCAAGAATAAAAATGCAGACCATAATTTCTTTTTTTAAATTCATGCACGGGATGTGGGCGTCTCTGGCTAGGCCAGCATTTATTGCCCAGAGGGCAGTTAAGTGTCAACCACATTGCTCTGGGTCTGGAGTCACATGCAGGCCAGTCCTGGGAGGCAGCTTTCTTCCCTCAAGGACATTAGTGAGCCAGTTGTTCACATAATGAGTTGGATTTCCCTGTCTGAGCTGTTCCAATTGTCCCATGTTTTTGTTTAACGTTTGCAAGCCATGTTGCTCCATGAATCTTATGTTGTGGTGAGATACTAGCCCAGAAACTGGAAGTGGCAGCTTAATGTTTTGGTCTTTGGACACAAGGTCTGAAATGATTACTGACCCTAATCTCCTGCGTTCTCCCAACAAAAGCACCCAACAAAAAGAGGGAGCACTAGGAATGATTAAGACATTCGATTTTATAAAGAATTTTTAAAGATGTCAGTGAACTTGTGGCTTGTTTTGACCAAGTTGTATAAAGCTGCATCATGCAAGAGATATCTGTAGGCTCCACCTGCCACTGCTCCATTCGGAGCAGACCAATCAAAACTAAACCAGTAAACCTGATGACTCAATATTTTTTGTGAGGAGTATCACAAGTTATTTAGTTAACATATTCACACAAATATTTAAATAACTTTTTAAAATTAAATCAACTAGTTTATGAAGATGATAAACCTTTTTTATTCATTTATGGATGTGGCTATGACTGGTAATGTCAGAATTTATTGTCCATCTCTTGTTGCGCTTGAGAAAGTGGTGGTGAGCCGCTGCCTTCAAGTATTGCAATCAATGTCATTTAGGTATTTGCACAATGTTATTAAGTAGGGAGTTTGAGAATATTTACTAATAGTGATGGAGGAATGATGATATATTTCCAATTCCCGAGAGTGACTTGGAGGTGGTGATAGTTTCCCATGGACCTGCTGCCCTTGTCCTTCTAGGTTGTTGAGGCCATGGATTATGTTAAATAAGTCACAATATTCTACAGCAATATTTATTATTTTTAATCTCGGAAGCCAGTTGTCAAGTTCAAAGATTACATGTTAATGGTTAGATTGTTGAGTCTTCTGTTTTATTATGGATTATTTTCCATGAAGAGGTAGAAAGTTATAAGCTGAATATAACCTATATTTTGTGGTTTAGTTTATGGCTTCAGAATTAGCTGCATTCCTGCGTTAGGTTACCAAAAGAGACAGCTCTGAAAGAACAAGAGGAAGGGGACATTAGGTTAAGCAGAGAGATTTTAGCCATATTAAAATGAAGTGGAAGCAGCTGCTTGACCAGTCTTAAAACCCATCAATAATTCATTACAATCAGATGTGAAATCTAGTGTTATCCAAAAGAATGTGTAAAAATCTGTGAGAACGAACTGACCGCGCTGATTGCAAGTGAAACACCCCCAAGACTGCTGACTTCATGGATGAATAGAAATAGCAACAGAATATTCCTTACTTTGGTGAACTATTCTTTGCAGAACTTAAAAAATATGTAAATAAATATGTAATTAGTTCGACAGATCTAAAAACATCACAAGTCCATATCTAGTAACCCTGCTTCCTCCCCCTGCTTCACCTCAGTTCCTCTGGTGGCCCCACCCCTAACTCCTCTGGCATCCCCAGACCTAACTTACCTCATGACCTACCTCAGATAGTGTTGTGCCCTCCTTCTCCAGGTGTAGTTGAACATTGGCCACTGCTGCAGATAGCTCCAGTTTGCTAATTGGCTGGAAGTTGTTGGACATGACTGACTTGGTTCTATTGGTGCAGTGTTAGTGTCCCTGTCTCTGGGCCAGAAGACCTGGACTCAAGTCCCACTTGCTTCAGATATGCATCATAACATATCTGAACAGTTTGATTTTAAAAATATACAATAGAGACAGCAGAGCAGGTTCTTGTGGATCAGTGGTATTGTTGCTACCTTTGAGCCAGTTGACTTAGGTTTGAGTCCTACCAGAGGTGTGTAATAACCTGTCTGAACAACCTGATTACATACTATTTGCTTTACCAAACAGAGAGTGACAATAATGACTTGGCTAGCTATTTGGCCACTTAAAGGTGATCACAACAGAAATGAAACTAGATTTGTGGTAAGAATTTAATAGGAACAGTTGAGAGGGTTCTTGTGGAGCAGTGGTAGCATCCCTTCCTCTAAACCAGAAAAGTTCAAGTCCCATCTGATGCAGAGGTGTATAACAGCATCTCTGAACAAGTTGTTTAGCAAATAAAAGGTGGAAAGCAAAGGGCTCTCGTGCAGTGGCAGTGCCCCTACCTCTGAGTCACAAGGCCTTGGTCTAGAGATAGCAAGAACTATGGATGTTGGAGTCAGAGTTGATACAGTGTGGAGCTGGAGGAACACAGCAGGTCAGGCAGCATCAGAGGAGTAGGAGTGTCGACATTTTGGGCCTAGACCCTTCAGCTTGTCCTGACTAGTCCTGAAGAAGGGTCTAGGCCCGAAACATCGACTCTCCTACTCCTTTGATGCTCCTGACCTGCTGTGTTCCTCCAGCTCCACACTGTATCCACTTGATCCAGAGGTATGTAATAACATCTCTTAACAGGTTGATTTAAAAAAAAAGGGACGGCCTTTAGGGAGATATGCATTGTTTCTCCCTCCAGTTCCATTTTAATTTAATCCCATCCGTCCCTATTTTGGTATTGTTCCACAGCACCTGATGAACAGTGCTTGTAATTTATTAATTATTTAATTTGTCAAACGGGTGATTGTTGGGAGTTTAATAAAAAGAAATAGACGTGGCATATATTTTGCTGACAAGATGTGCCCCCAATTCCATTGACTATCAAAGTGTGTTCATCAACCAACACCCCCCCAAACCTCCACCCCAACCTTTGGACCGGGGACAGGAACCCTGATGCCATCAACAAATCCAGCACCATTTGTTCCAACTCTTTTTTTTCAGCTTGCTAACAGGTTTTGGCTATAAAGTATATTTTGATGGCTATGTACATTAAAAGAATGACACACAGCACGTCTATCACAGCTTGGCAAGTCCATCTGAAAGGCAGCTGTTACATTATTTAAAACATTGAGGAAATTGAAAATTAAAATAGATTAAACATTGGCCTTCAACCTCTATGTAGCTCCAAGTGAGGCTAATGGGATAAAAGTCTCTTTTGTCTGCTAACTGTAAAGATCCCGTGCGAAATGAATTTGGGTGCCTGCAACAAGTTTCCCAGATCAATCAGATTCTGTTCGTTTTATGAGATTTTTTTTCACACTGTGATTCGTCAATATCTGGAATGCAATGGAGAGAATAGTACAGGCAAAAACCCTTGATTTATTTAAGAGCCAATTAAATGTTGGCTGCTAATTCTGGATGGTTGAGCAACGGTTGGTTGAAAGACTTTTGTCATCTGTAGTTATATTTTGATTGAGTATGTACCTGCTCAAAGTTGGATATGCTGACCTTGTACTGTACCCAGATATATTGCTAATGATAAATTGATTCTCAAGATAATACATAGACACAGGTATAGGTCTAATTTGTTTTTTAGGGCACTGATCTTTGCCTCATGGTTACTGATTGGGAAAGTGATGGATGAGCTTCCATTATTGCCACAGTATAAAAATGTCAGGAAAGTATTGCCTTTGAGCTTTAGATGAAAGAGCTGGTCGTTGCTGCTGACAGCTGAACTGTACCTAATAGATAGAGCTGTCAAGTTTCATCTACCACCTGGGCCTGAGCATTTGCTCTGATCAGATCTTGTCAGGTCGTAGGTACATGGATCACTTTATTTAATCAGATTAAGCCCACGATTCAGAACTCCTGTATTCTGGGTACATCAGTATCACTGCAGTGATGTACCATCCAATACAGTTCTGAATTCCATTCTGTTGTGAGTGGAAAAACACCAAGCAAATGCTGTGTATTCATCTAGCAAAGAAGAGGGAGGGAAGAAAACCATACCTGGGTGGTCCCTGGCAGGAGGCTACAGGTGATAAATGTAGTGGCCTGACAGTAGGCGAAGAAACTGTCCTTTTAGCTTCATCGGTGTCAGGCCTGGCAGATAAAAAGGATATAAAGACAAAAAAAGGAATAAGTTTATAAATATGGCACATTTAAAGATGGACATGTTGAAACTGGAAATCAGACACCAAAGTTTTCAATAAAGTTCAATATTTCCAGATTTACCATTCGTTTAAGCCAAAATTGTTCAATCGGCGTTTCAGTATCTTCGAATATCTTGATATTGTTCTAAAATTAGAGTTTTGTGTCCTGAGGCTATTGAAAAGGATGGATTAATTGATTTGACTAGAGAAACTAGGATTGCTCTCCTTAGAGTGGAGAAGATTAAGGGGAGATTTAATAGAGATTATCAAAATTGTGAAGGGTTTTAATGCATTAAATAAGGAGAAACTATTTCCAGTGGCAGAAGGCTTGGTAACCAGAGCAAGTTTAAGGTGCTCCGTAGTTGGCAAAAGAACCAGAGGTGAGATGAGGATGAAATGGTTTACAAATGAGTTATTATGATAGGGATACAAAACAGAAATTGCTGGCAAAGCTCAGCAGGTCTGGCAGGTTCTGCTTTTCAGGTTGAGTGAACCTTCCCTCAGAACTGATTCCTTTGACTCCGTCAGTTTTGAGGAAGGGTCTCTCGACCCAAAAAGTTAACTCTGATTTCTCTCCAGATGCTGCCAGACCTGCTGAGCTTTTTCAGCAGTTTCTGTTTTTGTTACTGATTTACAACATCTGCCGTTTTTTCCGGCTTTTATTTATTATGATCTGGAATGTACTGCCTAAAATGGTGGTGGAAGCAGATTCAATGACAACTTTACAAAGGAAATAAATACTTAAACAAGAAAATGTGTATTTGTGGTCTGGGAAATCTATTGCCTGTTTTTATTACATTGAGAAGGTGGTGCTGGGGCTTCTCCTTGAACAGCTGCTACCCTAATGATGATGCTTCCACAATATTAGGTGGAGCATTCATGGTTACATGTGGTTTCTTGCCTGCAATGAAATTCAGGTATGCCTGCATTCCTGATCCTTTTTCAAAAGCTGTTACTGCAAAACAAGACATCAATCAATGACTGAAGAGCACCAGAGACGTTCTAGTGACTTTTTTCCCCTAGCAAGAGTCGAAGAGAGTTTAGAAAGGAAAATTAGTTTTCCTGAATAATCACGAGGCACTTATCATTCAGTTAACTGTTTTGCTTAAGCAGCTGCAACAATTAAAATGGCTGAGGAAATTAGAATTGTGTAGCACAGCATTTAATATAATCTCTACATCTTAACACTATGGGCTGAAGTTTCCCATTTTTGATTAGTGTGTAGTCGAATCAGATTCATGGCTCCTGGTCTGCCTTGGCTTAGAGCAACCTTTCTCTCTCAATCCTCTGCTGTTCACCTCATTAATTATGCAACCGGGCTGTTGAACACTTTTCTTTCGGAATTGCAGAGCCAAAGAGATGGAAACGCACCCTACTGCCAGAACTTTCTGGTTTTCAAGTCTCCAGTGACATATTTAAAGCTGAGTTGTACACTATTTGAGACACTGCAAACCGGCAACTGACCCTCACACTCGAGTCTCAGCATTAAACACATTGCTCAGAGGAAAGGAACGCTTGCTCTTTGCTTTGTGGACGGGGACCTGCAGGCGCTGGTAGACTGGGGAATGGAGAGGAGGGCAGTCCTTTCCTCACCGACTCCCACAGAAGGTCACGCAATCAGACAGACCCAGTCGGCTTGAACACAAATTACAACTCACTGTAGTGCTGTGACCTCTGCCTCTTTGAATCAAAGTAAATTAAAATTAAAGATAATCCTAAGGAAAATAAAGTTAATGTAAATGAAGTAATATTAGGTTCCTGGTAAGATTTTATATTAAATTTATGCCTATTTTAAGAGTTATAAACAGTTTTCAGAGTTATGGGATGGCAAGTCAGCTGGGCCAAGTCAAATGTGCATCCTGCAGTGTGCGTGAAACCCTGGATGTACCATGTGTTCTAGCTAAGCACATGTGCAGGAAGTGCTCCACAAGCTTATGTTCCGAGTTTTGGAACATGAGTTGTGGCTAGAGTCGCTGTTCTACATCAGTGCGGCAGAGGGCTACATGGATAGTACATTTAAGGGAGGTCGCCACACCTCAGATTAGAAGTGTATAGACAGAGAGGGAATAGGTGACTACCATGCAATCTCAGTAAACCAGGCAAGTAGTGCAGGAGTACTTTAAGTCTCTCATACTTGCTGATTGGTATTCCATATTGGAACCTGGTGAAAGAGTAGCCAGAGAGAAGTCCATGGACTCAAGAGCATCCTCGCCCATAGTCGGGTGGGGATTTGGAGGGGAGAAAGAGAGAGACTATTAAACAGACAGAAAGAGTAAAAAGACAGGCAGGGCCAATAGTGATAGTCAGGTGTTTTTGTAGCATTAAACGTGACTTCAGGATGGTTTTTTGCTTACCTGGTGCCATGGTCAAGGATATCATGGAAGAGGGCAGGACATTCTTCCAGAGAGGGAAACGAGTCAGAACTAATGTTCCACATGGGTACCCCTGACATGGGTAGGAAACAGGATGAGGTTCTGAATGCAGACTTCAGGGAGTTAGCAAAGAACTTAAAAAGTAGGACTTCAAGCAATAATTCATCAATTTACCCATCTCAATTGTTTCCTTTTCTTCTTTGACTTCCCTGTTTCCATTTTGGAGGCTAAGTGTTGAATTTTTTCCACTAAAAACCCACTGACTCTCACAGTTACCTTGACTACACTTCCTCACATCCTGCCTATTGTAAGAAGTCCATTCTAATCTCCAGTTTCTGTCTCCTTTGCATCTATTCTGATGATGCCACTTTCCTCCAGAGTGTGTCTGACTTCTCTTTTTCTTCAACTGGGGAATCCCTTCTCCACAGTCATTGAAAGGTCCCTCTGCCATGTCTGTCCCATTTCCTGAATTTTTTCCCTCATCCATTCCCTTCTATCCCACAATAACAATAGGGTTCCCCTTATCATCATTTTCTCTCCTACCAGCCTCCACATTGAAAGAATCATCCTCTGTCACCTCTGCCAGAATCCAGCAGGATGCTACCATCAAACACCCCTTCCCTTTCAGCATTTCTGCTAGAACTGTTATTTGCAGAAGTTGTAACATTTTTCCCCTTACCTTCTCCCTCCTTACTGACTAAGGTCCCAAACATACCTTCCAGGTGAAGAAGCAGTTCACCTGATGTACTTTCAATCTAGTCTCCTGTATGTGCTGCTCACCGTACAGTCTCCTCTGCAGTGGCAAGAGATAACACAGACTGGGCGAGCACTTTGTGGAACACCTCAAGTCTAACTGCAAGAATGACCCTGACCTTCTGCTTGCCTGTTACTTCAATACATCATCTAGCTCTTGTGCTAACATTTTTGTCCTCGGCCTGTGCAGAGTTCTAGCAAAGCTCAACAGAATGTAGAAGGGAGGCCTTATTTTGCACTTAAGCATTTGAAAGCCTGTAGGACTCAACGTTGAGTTCAACAACTTCAGACTGACTTCAACCAAACTACCTGCCCCCCACCCCCACTCCCCAGTGCAATATCTTGTTTGGATGGGTTTGTTCTAGTAGTGCTGACCTCATTTCTGCAATTAACACCTACTGTTCACCCATATCTCTGCTCTGTCTCCATCATCAGTCCATATGTCTATTGCTCTGGGGCACCTTCACCATCTATTACACTTGATCCTCCTTTGCTCCCTTTGTCTGCAGCATAAAACCCATCACTTTTTCTGACACCTTCCATTCTGGAAAAGAGTCATATTGGATCCAAAACTTTAACTCTGTTTCTATCTCCACAGATGCTGCCGGACCTGCTGAGTTTCTCCAACTTTCTGTTTTCATTTCAGACATCCAGTATCCACTGTACTTTGCTTTTATTAACGGAAGTAAGGCAAGTTGGGGGTTTAATAATATGCAAATACATGGAAAATATAAGGTAGTCACTGCTCAGTGGCAAGATTCTGAAATCACCAATTAAGCATCGAGGAGAAAATTTTTCTTGATATTGAGAATCCGACTTTTTTGGTCAGAAAATACAATGAGAACATTCTCACCCTTACTCACACCTCACCAAGAAGGGAATTTCCACCCTGTATGTTAAATGTCAGATTTGGCAATGAACTATCAGTTAAAATGTACAAGCAAACAGTAAGTAATAAGTTTGCTGATCCCTGTCTCAGTGAAATAAGTTGACATTTCAAATGAATAATTTGCATTTATGTAATGTCTTATGGTATCTTCAGAACATCCCAAACAAGAGTACAACGGGACCTTGATCAGATGGGCTGATGGGCCCAGGATTGGCACAAGGAATTTAATTTAGATAAATGTGAGGTGTTGCATTTTAGTAAGGCAAATTAGGCCAGGACTTATGGGCATACACTTAATGGTAGGGTCTTCGGGAGTGTTGTTGAACAAAGAGACCTTGAAGGTGGAGTCACAGGAAGACAGGGTAGGGAAGAAGGTGTTTGGTACACTTGCCTTTATTGGTCAATGCATTGAGGATAGGAGTTGGGATGTCATGTTGCAGCTGTACAGGACATTGGTTAGGTCACTTCTGGAATACTGTGTTTAATTCTGGTCTCCCTACTGTAGGAAAGATGTGGTTAACATTGGAAGGGTACAAAAAAGATTTACAAGGATGTTGCCAGGGTTGGAGGGTTTGAGCTATAGGGGGAGGCTGAATAGGCTGAGGTTATTTTCCCTGGAGCATTGGAGGCTGAGGGGTGACCTTATAGAGGTTTATAAAATAATGAAAGACGTGGATAAGGTAAATAGCCAAGGTCTTTTTCCCAGGGTAGCGGAGTCCAAAACTAGACAGCATATGTTTAAGGTGAGAGGGGAAAGACATAAACGGGACCTAAGGGGCAACTTTTTCATACAGAGGGTGGTGCGTGTATGGATTGTGTTGCCAGAGGAAGTGGTGGAGGCCAATGTAATTACAACATTTAAAAGGCATCAGGATGGGTGCATGAATAGGAAGGGTTTGGAGGGAAATGAGCGAAACGAGCTGGCAAATGGGGCTA